TCTTCCCCTCCAACCTGGTGTCCGCAGCCTTCAGCTCAGTGAGTCCTTGGGGGTGTGTCCCGAGGGGTGGGGGGCGGGCAAGGAGGGGGAGAGCCAGTTGGAGCCCCTTGGTGCCAGCTCTGCGGTGCTGCCTGGCCAAGGGCACATGCCCGCATATTTCTGAACGATCTCGCAGGGTCCTTGGGGAACCTCCGAAACCCATCCCGTGCCCCTCCTCGAGAAAGGAGCATGCGGGTTCTGAGCCCCTTCTGGGTTCTAATTCCAGCGGCGTGACCCCGGGCAACTGCCTTTTCCTCTCCGAGCCTCAGGTTTCCGCCTCTGGAAAGTGGGCGCCTGATAAGAAAATCCTGCCTCGGGGCGGTTGCTGGCGGGGATGGAAGGAGATCATGTTTAGGGGGCGCTTAGGGCAGGACAGGGTGGGGGAGCCTCCATGGCCATGGATACTGACCGTTCCCAACCCCACCTGCAGTATAGTACCGTCTATGAAAGCAGATGGATCAACGGAACCAAGGTGAAGGTGAGAGCAGGGGAAGGGATGGGGGGAGGAAGGGGTGCATCCCTTGGCCCGTTGTTGTGGGTTTTCCATTTTGCTCTCACCCCGGCCTTTGTTTGTCCCCTGTCTTCAGACATCTGGTGGTATTTGTTTTACACTCTCTGCAGCCTCTCCCCCGTTTCTGTCTCTTCTGGCACCTTCGTTTGGCCCCCTCTTCTCCCTCCCTGGTCCGGGCTTCTCTTTTGCCCGAATCCCATCCTGCCCTGGGATGATCTGCCCCCAGAGCCCCCCTCTCCTACCTACCCTCCTCCGCCTGGCAGCCAGAGTGGTCTTTCCAAAGCACAAACCTGACGCTGTCTCTCCCCTGCCTGCAGCCCCTTTGGGCTCCCTAGTGCCCTCAGAAGAAAGCCCAGGCTTCTGGCCACAATCCCGGAGACCCTGCAGAATCGGGCTTCTGCCCGGCCGCCCACCCAGCTTCCTGTTTTGGCTCTGCCCGGCCTATTCCAGCCCCAGTGGGTTTCTCTCTGCTCTTCGAATGCCCGAGCTGCTGCCCTTTCCAGACTGTTGCGCATTGTTTCCTCTCTCTAGAACCTTCTACTGCCGCTCTTTACCTGGTTCGGCCTCCTATTCTCCAGATCTCTGCCCCTTCCTCCACGAAGCCCTCCCTGATCCCCCTCCCCCCAACCAAGCTGGCAACCCCTTCAATTCCCACACTACCTTGGGTTTCCCTATTCCAACCATCGTGGGTGGTCCCTGATGACAGGTCTGTTTCCCCAGGACCTGGACCGTGAGCCTTGGGAGGAAGGGACCCAAGGAGCCATCTTGTCTGTGCTGGGTCCCAGCAGTGCCCAGAACAGGCCCTTAGTGACTGTGCGGGTTGACTGAGTTTCCTCCTCCCTTTCTGATCTGTTCCTCACCCAAAGGTGCCCGTTGGGGATGAGGTAGATAGTATGAACATCCTGGGCCTGGTGGTATTTGCCATTATCTTTGGCGTGGCCCTGCAGAAGCTGGGGCCCGAGGGAGAGCTGCTTATCCGCTTCTTCAACTCCTTCAATGACGCCACCATGGTGCTGGTCTCCTGGATCATGTGGTAGGTGGGGGGGAGGGGGGGCTGGGCATGTGGGATCGGGCAACCCTCCCTCTGTTGCTTGGAGCCGCCTGGCCTGGACCCGCACCCAGTGTTGACCGTCCCCTGGCTGTGTGACTTTGGGCAAGTGACTTACCCTCTCTGTGCCTCAGTTTCCTCATTATCACGGGAGGACAGTGCTGTGTCCCATGGGAGCTAAGGCTGACGGGGGCACCTTCCGGACCCTCCTGGAAAGTGACAAAATGGACGGCCAAGCCGTGGCCCCGGTTTAGCTAGTGCATCTCAGTTGCAGAGACTTAGATGTGATCGAATGTACGGGAGACGAGTGGCATGAGGTAAAGGTAAAGCACTTACAAAGTGGTTTCTTTTTTTTTTTT